ACTAGAGAATAAAGTGAAAATACATGATTTAATAAAGAACCCTTTTCCTCTTAAGTGCTTTCCTCTGTAACTGTTTCTTGTTTCCAACTTAATTACAAAAGTAAATAAACATTCCTGTATTTTTCCTTTCCTTGACTTGATGCCACGAAAAATCAGTGTTTGAAAATACCAGTCATCAGTTTATAATTACACTATAGGACAAAGACAATTTTTTAAAAGCTCTAATGTGTACGGCAAAATGCCTCAAATATTTTACATTTACTGATAAATAACAGCATTCCAAATCATAAAGGACAATTATTTATAATAATTAAAACTTGTAAACTATATCACATACTAGAATACATTAATCGGCACAAGTCTTCATTAGTACACATAAAATTATTTATAGTTAGAATAGTCTTGGAAGTTGTAAAATCTGATAACAGAAAATTTGTTTTTCCAATTCCTCCGAGTACACAGAATCAAAGTAATCACCGTTGGAAGTGTGAAAACTACGTAAACTTAAATTACCCTTGCAATAATACAGTTTTAAGCCAAACATTCATATTTACAAGGTTTTTCTTCAAACAAATGTAGGTGGAGTTCACATTAAAGGTACATTTAATTGAAGTTTAAATTAAAAAGCATGATACTGAGGTGTCAGGATAATTGTCTCCCATGGCCACCTCTAAGGGCCCAGCGCTGCCTTGGGTGGCGCATAGCTTTTAGCCATGGTGGTGACTGAGGAGTTAATGCACAAACGAGGAAAAGGTAGGTACTGTCCGCAGAGTGGAACAGTCACATCCTGTACTTGTGTACTTGCCAAGAGAGCATCATTAAGAACGTTGACAAGTTACAATACGCTGAGCTACAGACACTGTTGGGCGTGTCCAAGGAAATGCAAGGGAGACACCTATGCCAGACTTTTCCATTCAGTCTCTGACAAAGAGGAACTGGAAACTCTCCGGGGCCTTCTATGACACCACAGATTCAGCAACAACCAAAGGCAGCTTTTTGCCACAGAGCGAGTCATCTGTTTACCTGGCCGCCATGTGAGAAATGAAGTGCAAGGAATGGTTTCCAATCTACCTGCTACCCAGAGTTTTCCAGAAGCCATTTAAAATGTTTCACTCTTTTCATCTAGTTTCCAGATATGAAATTGAAAAATCTTTGGCAATAAAGAATATTATATCAATCATTTGTTTTAAATAAAGCTCCAGGGAATATAATTTTTAACAGTTGCAGAAACTACATTTATTAGAAGTGTGACTGTTAGACTCTTCCCCACCCCGACCACAGGGACATCCACTCACACGTATGGACAGACGCACGCACGCATGGGCGCTTGAAAGGCTGCACGGCAGCAATACCTTGCCCACAAGCTGGCAACTTGTATTTCAGCCTTTCCCCAGTAAATGAATCACACCCTCATCAGAACTCCACAACCCGAAGACTTCAGCTCTGGGGAAGATGAAGGCCTGGAACCTGCCGATCCTCCCACTCCCGACAAGCCGTAACTTAGGTTTTCCACACATCAGTCCATGCCAGTTAACCGTCATTTCAGGCACCTGGTTGCCCAGGGTACTGCAGCTGATAGTGAAGGACTGCCCCCATGAGGCAGCCACAGGAACAGGCCGAGGGCAAGAGGGAGGAGAGGAGGAGCCGACTCCCACGCTGCGGACCCCGTTCACAAGTGCTCCCCAGGAACTCGGAACTCGTGAATCATCAAAAAGAAATGCACATCATTCTCCTAAAAACGGGTGATCTCCCCCTCAGCACGGAAAACAGGCTACCTTCTATCCGAAGTCTCTAAAAAAAGATGTGGTCGTTTAAACGTTATCAGCATCTCTCTCCCTAAATAATGTAGCCACTCTGGCAATAAATTTGGCCCAACGTATAAATTTGCCCTCAGTTTTGGTTTTCCTTTGTAAAATATGTAAACAAATAAGGAACAGGAAATGTTGCTTATAGAAGACGTCTGAGTAGAAGCAGGTACGGGGAAGGCCGGGCTGTGGTTGCTGCAGGAAACCCGGGTCCCTGGGGCCTGCCGCCCGCTGTGGCTCAGTCACTGTCTGACTCCTCCTTGTACTTGGCCCGAATAGCCTGGCCGTTCTGCAGAGGCATCTCTTCATAGTCGCTCCTATCACAGGAGAGAGACCCGTGACACCATTCTATCGCCCATAGCTCCTTAGCCACTCTCGCTCACGCTGACTCGCCATTCAGACAAAGGCTAATCTCAAGGCGGCAGTCTCAGTTTTCTACAGCCACCCGATGCCACCCACTCCTCCTCCCCCGCCAAGGCCAGGGCCCCCCGTCCAGACAGAAATGGTCTTCCTGTGGCCACCACTCACTCCAGGTGGTCAGCAAAAAGGAGCACCGTTAAATCTGGGACTGAGAAGGGTGAACACCGCGGGTCGCGTGGCACTCCCAGGTAAGAGAAATGTCACAATACCCTTCAGCAAACCCGCAAAGCCGAGCTGGATGCCCACATGTGACGGCGACTTACCCATAGATGACATCGTCATCGGAGTCGTTCAGCATGGAGAAGGC